TCCCTTCCCTCCTCGCTACTACGTGTGGTAGCCCAGCTAGCTCTGCGGGCCCAGCGCTGCATCGCCGGTCTCCTCCTTTCCCTCGGCCCAGCGCGTTGGCCCAACTCCACGTCGACACCGCACGCACCGCGCCGCCCCTCTTTCCCCTCTCTCCCACCAACTGGCCGACCCAGCTCCCTGTGTCGCTACCACCCAGGCCCCATGTGTCAGCATCGTCTCCCTCTTCCTCACTCGAGTCCGCATCGATCACGACCGCCGCTGGTGAGACCGTGTCCGCCCTGCCTCCTCGTTGCCGTGCGCTGCAAGCTCCTCCGCACTCATAAATAAGGGTGAGGACCCCGCGTCGCCTCTCTACCCCAACCCTAGAGTGCCACAGCCACCACCCTTGCCCTAGCGAACTTGCGCCGCCATCCACCGTCTCCCCGCCAAGCCGCGTGTCGACTCCGTGCCTTCTCTGTCGTCGGGAACCCCCTAGGTGAGTTTGCCGTGCTCCGCTCTCTCCCGGTGCCTTCCCCGTGTCGTAGCATGGCCCATAGGCATTTTCCCATGCACGCCGATGAGCTTCTCAATACCGGCCGTGGCTGCCACCGTGTCGCCCTTCCTGTTTCAATGGCGCATTCCCCCCAACCGTCCTCAGCCGTCTGATCTTAGATGAACCGCCAGATTAGAACCCTGCATACCCCTTCATAACTGGTCCATGAGCACAGTGTAGACTAGGTCCACAGCTCTGGTCCACACCGGCACACCATCTCCAGCCAATCCTACTTCGCCACATCATCCTCTGACCGGGTCAGCACCGACAGCTGCCGCACTTTTGTAAAAGAGACCCCAGTGTTTTGAAAAATCAACCCGCAGTCCTGAGTAGTTCAAAAATAATTCAATCAATGCCCCTAGTTTTTATGTTTTGACCCCTGTGTTTTTCCAAAAACGACGACCGGTCCACCGTACTGTTTTAATTTGGTTTTTAATTATTTTTATTTACAGAATTGCCACTACCGTCTGTAGGCCATATCTTCTCCGTTTTAACTCCGATTTGACCCGTTCAAATTGCGTTAGGTTCGTATTTACGTTGTCTATATGTTCATACCACTGTTATATATGTTCTCAACTTTTAAAATTCGAGGTTAGATTTAACCTATTATTTTATTAAAGAAAATCTTGTTTAATTCATATCTTCTACGTTTGAGCTCTGATTTGACCTGTTCAAGTTGCGCTAGATTCATTACAACGAGATCTACGCGTTAGTAACAATGTTTATCATGTCACTATTTTTGGAATTTCATGGTTTAAACTCTAATTTGAAAAATAATTATGCAACTGGATTTTATAAATAAAATATGATTTGTTTTACTTTAGTTTCATAATTCAAATCTAAATTTGACTTAATTCAAATTATATAAGCTTTTATATAGTTAAAACATATGAAGTTTATAGTTTTATATTTTCTCTTATGAGTAGATCTTTCGGAAGCCGTTTCTTTCAAACCGTAGCTCCGATTAGCGTGCCTCTCGCGACTATGTGTTCGTAGCGATGCGTAGAATCATATTTCAAACTCTTTTATTTATTTTTCTATGATTGGTGTATTATTCTATTGTAGATATAATTGAATGCTATGCATGTATGTGTATGGATGTTTGTGTGGTGTTCTACGATTACGTCCAGTCGATGAGATATACGTGGTGATCAAGAAGAAGAAGAACGTTGAAGATTAAAGCTTACCGAAGGATTGGTGTTTAAGGCAAGTATAACATGGGATCTTCCTTATTGTCCTATACACCTTTAATCATTTAATTCATACTGCATGTGTCTACCTTGATTACCACTAAGGATTTACTAGTACCTTGTACCTTGTTCCTTGACACCTATGGGGTATTGCATTGGGTAGTATGATGCTAGTGCTCAACTACAACCATGATTTTATAACTTGACTAATGGTATATGCAATAAATACTAAAATATGCTTTTTAGCAACATGGAACCAGGAGCTAGAGCATTAGGCTGTTTTTATGGTGCTTTAGATTTTTCTCCCTAAGGACTTATCTATAAGTGATCATCCGAGACTTACAGTACAGCTGTGAGGGCTACATGGTTCTGGGTTTGGCTCAGTATGAGGACCTTTTCTAGGTTGTTAGTGGTTACCTTTATGGCACAAGAGAGGTGTGTTCCGGGTTGGATATAGTGCGGCCTCTGTCCGTCAGTGTATAGGCTGCGCGTCATTGTGCCTGTCGAAAGGAGAGCCCTACATTCATAGGCCACAGAAACCTAGCGGCCCTAACTTGTTAGACGAACCTTTGAAAGGCTTCATAGTGAACCCTGCCGACCTTCCTTGGTAGTGGGTCAAGGGGTTGATCACCTCGGACGAAAGGATAAATCACAACTCACAGTGAAAGTGTACAATCCCTACAGAGTGTAAAACTGGTATATCAGCCGTGCTCACGGTCACGAGCGGCCTCGGAACATTTACGAAATAGATGATAAACACTGATGATACTGATGATAAAGATGCTCACTAATGATTACTGTTTATGCTATTCATTATTCATGTTTACCTGATCATGTGTTTATATGGGCTTGTGAATAAACTTGTTGCCACCCAATTGCTAAAAGATGACTCATTAAAAGCTAATCGCAGTTAAACCAGTGTAAGCCTTTTGAGCCTCATGAACCCCATGTTATATTTGTTGAGTACGACATGTACTTATGCTTGCTTTACTTTTTAAATCTTTGGAAAATCTCGGATGGGTACCATATTGCTAGAGTTTAGAGGAATTAGGCTTGCGATCAACCAGTCAGTTGTCCATGTGGAATTAGAGTCTTCACCCAAAGATCGGAGTTGTCTTTCCGCTGTTTGCTACCTAAGGTTATATTCTTTATACTAATTACATTATATATTGAGCATTGTCTTCGATATTACCCTTATTTGTAGCTATATGTGAGAATTGACTTTCTGGACTCACATATGGTATGTATCTGGTTTTGTTTTTAAAACCGGGCGCTACAACTACTGGCTGGTCCAAGAGTGTTTGTTAGATAGTCTGTTGTCTCGATCTTCACAAGAATGGATTTTGTCTTTGAAGGGCGATAGAAGCTCTGTAAATCTATCGATAGGTAGATATGTTTGGTTTTTATAGCCTCCAGATGGAGTTTATAATTTATATTTTGCTGATTGAATAAAGTCATCAGAGCTCCCATAAAAAAATGGTCCGTTGTCTCTAACTTAGACACTAGAGTTTTTATTTTGAATCATGGTATATCCACGAGTAACCCATGAACATCCCCTCCACTCTCTAGACTAGGGAGAGAAAGCCCAACCCTTCATGGCAGTCCAACCATTTTTCTTCTTAGACAGTACGATAGGATCGCCCAGCCAGAATATCTCCAAGAGTATCTAATATTTTTTTAATAAAAACATGAAGTTTTACAATTTCTAAAAAAGTATTGGAAGAAATAAAGAAGGCCATATCCAAGAGTTTCTAATAATCCACTCCTCAAATATAGAAGACAATTTTATATTAGAAATCATATACTATTTTTAAATTATCATAACCACTTTTATATATTCTTTCTCTCTTATACATTTGCATCAGGAACCATTTTCTACTCTTTATTCTTTCCACGCCCTTCCACCTTTAGATTGGCCTCCAAACATGCCCAGGAGAGAAGATACGCGCGACTCGAAAGCGCGTAACTTTACACGGAACATGGTGACTTTTCTCAAGTTCTAAAAGATTAGGATGATGGATTAGGAGTTATTGGAGAGAGGTTTTTTCTCATCTTGCTAAAAATCAAGGATTAGGAAGGGATTTAGGGAACTCTTAGAGATGCTCTCCGATTGAAGCTTTGGACGGTCCATCTAACTTCTGTGTCTCCTCAAACAGTGTGACACCTAATCACGGACTCCGTTAGTACCTAACCAACCCTTCTAAGTTTCAGTCTGTTCGGTTGGCTGGTTCATGAAGAAGTACTGCTGGCTGGTTTGTGTGAGAGAAAAATATTGTTCCGGCTGGAAATTTACGATCGTTTATGATAAGCTACAGCCAAACGAACATGCTATTTCTTGTGTACCCTCCTAACCTCTAGTACTCTAATCCATAAACTTTTCTAAGTTAGTCAATCTGCAATTACGAAAGGTTCTTCCTTCCTGCTTGAGAACGTGTTGATGTGCCTTCTTGTGGTTGAAAATTCCTCTCTTTTTTTCTAATTTCCCAAGGGACAAGGATGGCATGCATGGGCATAGATTGGGCTATGTATGTAGAACATGTTGATTGATAGTTTCATGTGATACGGTACTTTAATTTTCTCATATATATTGCCGTTCATCTCAGTGTGTCGTAATTATGCAGTTACGCATATGCATGTTGTACTATTTTTTATGGCAGGGATAGCATAAGTAAACGCACACATTTGTATCTGGCAGGGTAAGAACTTCATGTACGTAAAATGCACGAAGTGCATCATGCATGTATTCTACACTAAACAATCTTGTTCGAGTTTAAAGAAATCTGCAGATCCACTCCAACCGTGACCTCTTTAGAAGAAGACATTTGGAACCACCGTTTGCATGTATTCTACACATGTGCAAGATGATGAGATCTAACAGTACCAAAAGAGTAGACATGTGTTGCAAGAATTTAAAGTACATATTATTTTGTTTTTAAAATACAGAGAGGGTTGGAAAAATCAACATAGTCCAATAATCGCAGAGCTACAAGTTATATTAAAAAAAGAAAAAAACAAGATAACAACAATCAGTGGCGAATCTAGGCCAGATGACCATCGGGGTCTTCTTTAAAAATAGATGGAGTCATTAGGAACAGTTAGCATTGTATATTGTAATTTTTTATTGGAATTCTAAAAAATCGTCAGGGTCGGCTGGCCTCGATGGCACACTATAGGTCCGCCCTTGACAACAATACATGAGATGGAAAAGGAACAAAGCTAGGAATGATCAACACTAGAAAAGCTTGCTTGCTAGCTGCGGTTCTCTACTGAGGCACTTATCATCGATCACTGACTGCGAGCAGCTTCCTCCCCGTATTGTTCTTGGTGAATGCATGGCCAATCCCAGGGCTGTGGCTTGGGGTAGTTGGGCGATTATTTTTTGTTGCCCATGAAGCACCTCCACCCTCCGTGGGAGTGATCGTGCCCTCAAGCATCCCTTTCGGCATCGAAAGCAGCGTCAGATGACATGATTTGAGAGGCTAGAAGCAGAACTACGACGAGAGCAACTTTGCACATGCTGTTCGGTGACTTGTCAAGGGCCAGTTCTCAAGGAGAAAGGGATGGGACTAGCTTTGCCTTATGATGGCTGCAACCTCTTAAGCTAGCTCACGCCTATTTATAGAAAATTGAAGACGGGACAAAAAAAAACTAATGCACCTATATTTAAGGCCCTATTTAGATCAAGGGCCTAATCATTTGCTGCTAATAATTATCTACTTGGATCTAAACAGGTCTAGCTAGTATAGTTTAGCCAAATGTTAGCTGCAAACCAAATTAACAACTATTTTAGTAGTTGGACAAAACTAATTAATAACAGCTAATATTACTTGTGACCTACTTGCATGCTAACTATTAGCAGCTAATAATGGATCCAAACAGGGCCACGTGGGTAATATTTAGCTGGTAATAATTAGCTCCATTGATTCAAATAGGTCTAGCTAGTATAGTTTAGCCAATGTTAGCTGCAAACCAAATTAACAATTATTTTATTAGTTGGACAAAACTAATTAATAGCAGCTAATATTAGTTGTGGCTTATTTGCCAGCTAACTATTAGTAGCTAATGGATCCAAACAGTGCCAGGGGTAATATTTATCTGGTAATAATTAGCTCCTTGGATCAAATAGGTCTAGCTAGTATAGTTTTGTCAATGTAATTAGCTGCAAACCAAATTAACAATTATTTTATTAGTTGGACAAAACTAATCAATAGTAGCTAATATTGTGGCTTATTTGCCGGCTAACTATTAGCAGCTAATGGATCCAAACAGGCCAGGGGTAATATTTAGCCGGTAACAATTAGCTCCTTGGATCCAGATAGGTCTAGCTAGTATAGTTTAGCCAATGTTAGCTACAAACCAAATTAACAATTATTTTATTAGTTGGACAAAACTAATTAATAGTAGCTAATATTAGTTGTGACTTATTTGCTAGCTAACTATTAGCAGCTAATGGATTCAAATAGGTCCAGGGGTAATATTTAGCTGGTAATAATTAGCTCCTTGAATCCAAATAGGTCTGCTAATTGTTAGTTGCATGCCCAACTAACAACTACTCCTCCTATCCCTAAATATCTATCGTTACGGTTTGTGTGCCGATAAGTTTGACTAGATTTATAGAAAATATTAGCAATATTTGTATATCCAAATAAATTATTATGAATATAGATTCAAGTATTCAATGATCTATGTAATGATATTTATTATATATCATAAATATTAATACTTTTATATATATTCAGTTAAAGTTGTTTCTCTCGAAGCGAAAACGACAATAAAAAGGGATGAAAGGGAGTATTTCTCTAGTTGACCAAAATAGTGAATAGTAGCTAATATTAGTTGTAACCTATTAGCTGCTAACTATTAGCAGCTATAATGAATCCATAGGGCCTAACAAAGATGCATAGGGCTATATACGATCAAAGAATACATATTAGAATAATATATCTTGCGTACAAGGTGAAAGAATTAAAATGTTCACGCAAAAGCAAAACACTGGTTTAATAGTATCGTATATATACACAGGAAATGCAAAGAGAAACGATTTTCACTTGATACTATTAGTAAAGAAAGGTAGGATTCCCACATATTAATATTCTTTTCAAAGTAAAAGCACTGGTATGCATGTCTCGTAGGGACACGGTATTAACAGCACGGCTCCTTATTAGGCCAATCCCAATGAGGGGTTTCATGGGAGTTTCATCATAGATATTAAATATGCTGACATAACACTGTATTGGTGAGGAGAGATGATAAAAGTTTCATGAGAGTAGAGAGAGTTTCATGATGATAAAACTCTTATATATTGTTTCCAAAATATGGTTTTGTTGAAAGCTGAGACATGAAATCTCCACTGAAACTGGCCATAGAGCCTTCTCTTTTTTTCCCTGATTCATTTTTGTTGTATGCTTCCATCACCCCAGAATAGGCTTCACTACCAGTTCAAAAACCCTTATCACTACCGGTTAAAAAACCAGCAGTGGGAAAGTGGCAGGCAGTAGGGCTCATCACTGCCGGTTCTCGTAGAATAGACACTGATGAGGTTTTTTAGAAGACCAAATTTGGCTGAAAAATACCAAATATTTTTAATATCGGGAGACCCCATTGAGTAGCCACATACGCGCCCCGTCACAAGTCACATGATTTTTAGCGTGAAAAACGGGCACTTCGCGGCCACCGGCGTTCGAACCCATGACCACGTTCATCCCCTAATCACTCCACCCACAAGACACTTGTGTCAGCCACACACGCAAGCCGTCACAGGTCACATGATTTTTCACACAAAAAAACAAGCATTTCACGGCCACCAGCACTTGAACAGTCTTTGCGCGTTCGTTCCTGACCACTCCATCCACAAGACACTTGTGTCTATATGAAATATTCTTGCTCCACACTATATGTTCATCTGGTTTTGAAATGAGCATTTGAGATCTTAAACGAATTCAAATGAAAAAGTTATTAACTAGAAAGCATATATATAAATAGATAGATATATTAACATACTTACATCAATCACACCAATATATACTTCTGCATAATCACCCTCGATAATATGAATTAGTTTGGTTAATGTGATGTTTTTTTTCAAAATTTATAATCTACCATGTATGGCTGTGTTCGGCTGGCCAGATTTGGCTGGCTGGCTGTTCTTTTTTTTAGCAGTGTTTTCCTCTCACAAAAAACAGTACGAACAACAAAAACCAGCATAAACAGTGTTTTTTTAAGTCCAGCCAAGCACTCCAACAGTAAAAAACTATATAGATAGATATATTAACATACCTACATCCTATAGTATTATTGATTGGTTCATTCATCAAACCAAGTACTGAGGATGTGTTCTGATGCACAGGATTAAAACTAGTATCCATCTACGACTCGTTTTGTATGTCCTGACGTTTCTCGTGCTGAGGGTCGAGCTCCCCGCTGGGATCTGGATCTGGTTGGGGGACGGAGTGCACAGGGTGAAGTGAAGGTCGCAGGGGTTTTCTGATTGCAATTTGCTTCACCGAGCAGATCATGAGCTCTCATCTCATACCATGGTTATTATGCGATCTCCATCTAAAAGCCGAACACAGACAACGTTTCAACCTTTTTTTTTCAAATCAAGTAGTGCAAAAAACAAGTTCACATTGAACGGAAAAGAACAGAACACCAGCAACATTTCATTACATCATGTGTGGTCTTTATTCCATTTCCCGATAAATAGGTATACATAGAGTTCATCTACATAGTCGATGGAAATGAATTCAGACTTTTGGACCCTTCTAATTTATTTTGATATTTTGAGGAGGAGCACTCTGGGGGCTTGAGGCCAGTGATGAATCTATGATAAAATTTCGGTCCTGTTTAGCACAGTTTCACCAACGTGAGCTGTTTTTTTATTGAACACCCTTTTAAAAATCTCTTCGTGGGTGAAGTTATTTTTCTCCTCCTCTCGTAAAGTGATGAGTTCGAGTGAAACCGGAAAAATAGCTTATCCCAACTTTAGCTAACACATGTGGGGCCCAGCATGCAAGACTTTTGCCCAAGCAGCACTGGGAGAGAGCGCAGCAGCCGGCGGCGTGGCCCGCCGGACCGCAGCTCGCAGGGGGCGTAGCTCTGTGAACTGAGCATGGCTGTTGCTGCCTTGCTGGAGCATCGGACACGAGCTTCGCGCCACCGCCTGCCGGATGCAGGTGCCGCCACGTGCGAGAGCGGGCGCGGGTGCCGTGAGGGGCGCTGGCCGCCGGGAGCGTGCTAAATTAAAGCATCTTTTCAAGCCTGCAGTACCTGATCAAGCAAAGATAAAATCAAACATCAGTTGATGACAGGTAGCAATTCTTTTTCTCCCTTCTGTCCAATGGACTCGTCGCCCCACCATGGCAGGTGTAGCCGTAAGTGTGGATTGTCGCCGATTAGCAGTTGCATTGTTGGCCCTCGGCGTCCTTGTCGCTGCATGTCGGACGATCGATTATGATTGTGCCGAGGTGCGGCGTACCTGGCAAGAAAGATGATGAATTCAGTGTCATGGACTCGTGGTGGTCGACTGGTGGGCTGCCTCCTATCTCACTTGGATCGGTGGATGAAGTAGAAGTGGGCCACGGGCCTGGATCCCAAGACTACGACACACTGCTGTTTTATCTTGAAAAAAGTCTTTGGACCCCTTCAACTTTCACGGCCGGTCGATTTCGTCTCATGTATAAAATCGGTTGTTTTAACCCCCTTCCTCGACTTTTAAAACTCCTTGTTTTTGCATCTTGGATGGTTTTGGATGGCGGTTTTTTACATACTGCCACGTCAGGCACGAGGGAAGTAAAACAGACTTTGTTCTTAGTTTAGGAGGTATATCTGACTATATTTTTTAAAAATATTCAAATATTCTTTTTTGAAAATTATGCAATTAAAAATCCTAAAATCTGGTTTAATCTTAACAAATCCATAGAAAATTTGGTTTAGCTCATACCAGGACAAAATATTTGGATAATTTTTTGAAAAATATTTGGGATAAAATTTCATCTATCTCTATCTTATGGTCCCTAAATTGGAATAAAATTGAATCTTAGATGGACTCCTTTTGAGCTTATTTGCTAGTAGATGCACTCGCTGTCTGTTATAATTAGTCTACGTTGACAATCAAGTGATTTTAATGACAACACAAGTGTCATGTAACCACATCATACTTAATACTTCTTAGTATAAAAACTATTTAGTAGTCTACTCAGGCTTCTATATAGTCCAGATGATCAACATCGACTAATTATAATAGATAACGAGACCTTCTACTAGCAAAAAAAAAAACACCAAAATGAACCATCAAGATTCAAAAAGTTTGAAGCTAGGCACCATAAGAAAGAGCATGATTTTAGAAAAAAAAGTCTGAAACTAGTTTCATTTTTAGCTAAAACAAAATTTCTATGAACCATCAAAGATCAAACCGAATTTTAGGATTTTGAATTGCATTTTTTTGTAA